ACTACTATTCATTGCTGCCCTTGTCTTTGCTGCACCCACAGGCTTATTTTCCCCTTCCATTTCTTGTTGTTGTTTTTTTTTGTTCTGTCTTTTTTTTTTATTTTCATGGCCTCGCATTTTGTTGCTGCTGTTGTTTTGTTTTCTTTTTTTTTTATTTGCGCTGCCGTTTACCGCGCGCGCGCGCGCCTCCCCTGCGTTGCCGCCGCGGCCCTCATCCTGCTGCGTCAGCTCCCGCCCTCCCAGGGGCGCCCAAGGTAGCCCCCCACGAGCTCCGGGGAAACGCCGGCGGGGTCCCCCGTTTGGGGACCGGCCGTGGCCATCGACAGCGGCAGGGCGGTGGCGGCGGGGGCACCCGCGACCTGCGCCATACCCGGAGACGCGTACGGCACTGTGATGATGTAGGCGCCTGGAATACCTGAGAGCTGTGCAAAGTGGGGTTCCATGCCCGGAAGCACATTGTATTCCGCGTGCTGCGCCGGAAAACCCGGGATGGTCCCTGCCGACGGGACTGCAGCGTAGGACTGCGGCGTCGCCAGGGTGGCCGGGCCGAGAAACGAGGGGGAAGCCGTCATACCTGCGTACGGCAGGGCCTGCGGGAGACCGCCTCCGGTGCAAGTAGGAAGCACACCCACCGCGGGCCACTTGGCGTAGTTTGGGACAGGCATGAAGGCAATGTTTGGAGGGGCGGTTCCCGTCTCGACGATTCCGAGGGGTGCCAGGTAATTTGCTGAAGGGGTGACGAGTGGGTCAGTGGCGGCAGACGTCCGCTCCGACGACGACAGCGGCTGCATTCCTGGTGTTGTTGTGAGGCCCTCACTCTGCGACAGGGAGGCGTGCGACGGGGATCGCTTTTCATGTGCCAAACGGCACGTCAGTGCACGCCCCTCAACAACAAACCCGTTCAGCGCCGCAACACAGGCAGACGCCTTTTCTTCCGTCTCAAATAACACAAATCCATGGCCACATGGCAGGCTTGTCGTTGCATCACGTACCACTTTGGCCCGTAGGACTCTTCCGCATGTGCCACACAACCCACGTAGTTTGTCGGTATTCCAGTGGAGGGGTAGTCCTTGAATAAACACATTGCGACTTCTACGCAAACCTGATAACGCATGTTGATCAAGCGCAGCGGTGTCATGTCCAGGACGTGAATTTGTGCAGGACGCCTCGAAGGGCTCCGAAGTGAGGGACCGCGCCGATTCAAGTGAGACTTCTTGGGGAGTAATGAAGCCGAGAGAGGGAGTGGCAATGGCAGTCGTAGCAGGACTCCACGAAATACCCTCAGCGTGGGCAAATGACGGCATCGCTCTTTCATGCGCCAGGCGACACGACAAGACCTTTCCAGCCATGGAACAGTTATTGAGGGACTCCACACACAAAGCTGCTTGCTCCTCGGTTTCAAACATCACAAAGCCGTATTCGCGGGACTTATTGGTTGCCCCATCGTGCACCACCTTGGCAGAAATGATAGTTCCAAAAGCACTACACACGCTGCGAAGTTTGTCTGTGTTCCAATGTGTTGGAAGCTCACTGACGTACACGTTGTTGCGCACTGTGAGTCGCACGGTGTCGCCCGCCGCCGACGCCGACGCCAGCTGAGAATTTGCCGCCCCTGTCTTCGATGTCGAGGCCGGTGTGAGCGCGGTGGCTGGCGCTGTTGCCGGCGCTGTTGCCGGCGCTGTTGCCTCTGCCGCTGGCGCCTTGGCGGTGGTGGGGGGCGCCGCCAGGGGGGCCATGGAGGCTGTGGGGTCCGTCATCCACGTCCCCGCGTCGTACGTGCCGCCACTCGGCGCCTGTCGGTCGCTGGAAATGCTGGTCGCCGACTGCGCAAAGGCGCCGAGGCTGGCGTTGAAGTCGCTCGCCCGCCTTGCCTCTGCGTGCGCCTCGCCGCGTGCCGAGCCCGCCGCGGCGTGGCCATTCTCGTCGCCAATCCCGCCCAGGACGTCGGCCAGCTCGTCCGTCTTCAGAAACAGGTGCGTGGAGCCGGTGCTCTCGCTGTTGGCGTAGCCGTTGTTGGCGCCGCTCCCGTCATCGGCGGTGCTGTCGAGGAAGCGGTCCATTTGCCGCCAGTCCCCTGTGCGTCTGCGGAGGTGGCGAGGGCCCAGTCGGTAGCGGCGACAGAGAGCAGGGTCGGATGCAACCCAAAGGCCGGCAAGAGACAGAAAACAATAACAATAACAATAATAATAATGATAATAATGATAGATATGATGATAACAATAAACAAAACAAAAAAATAAAAATAAAAAGTACCCCCCTCTCTTTTATTTCTTCGTCTACACAAGAAAGAGTTTGCACACAAAGAAGAATTAAAAGAGGAGGAAAACGAAAAAAAAAAGAAGGCCGCCGCTTCCGTAAAATCAACGCTTGGAAATCTATCCAATGCGAACAGCAGCGTGTGTGAGCGTGCACTATTGCTACGGCGGCTCCACCCCGCTGAACGCTTAGAAGAACGGCGGTTCTTTTGCCTTTTGCTTCTTGTGCCTGTGTATGTATGCGTACGTGTATGTATGCACGTTAACTCCCCCGCCCACCACGCTCTAGCCGCCTACTCCGAGATGATTGCCTCTCTTGCTTTCCTTCCCGTGCGGAAATGTGTGTGTGTATCTCTCTCTCTGTCTGCGGGGGGAGGGTGGGGAGGGCGCTGGCAGTGCAATTCTTCTCCCTAGTGTGCCAGTCACCGCTGTGTATTTGTGTGTTGTTCTTTTTTTTTTCAGCTGTGCTTGGTCTAACCTCCTTCCTTGCTGAGGGCGGTGCACGTGGATGGGACGAAGTATGCACTTCTACTTCCTTCCTTCCCTGTCCTCCCTTGTCTTTGTGTGTTTTTTTTGTAGTCGCTTGCTGCTGCTGCTGTTGCTGTTGTTTATCCTTGGCGTTTACGCGCGTACGATTCCTGGCAAAATAGACCACCCCTCTACTCCCTTCGCTTCCCTCTCTCTCTCTGTGTGGCTGTGTGGCTGTGTGGAGGGAGGAGGCGTATGTTCCGTCTTCTGCTTGCAGACTAACTCTACTTCGGTTCTACAGGCAGGCACAGTGCGTGCCAGCGCAGCGCGAGCGAGAGAAAAGAGGAAAAAGAGGAAAAAGAGAAAGAGAAGTCGTCGTTGCCCCTGTCCGCCGCCAAACCAGAGACGCCACGCGCCCCAAGTATCTCGCGCTTGCCAGCAGCGAGACCCGGCGGGCCGGCACACACACGCGCCGCCGGCGCGGACACCCACGCAAGGCACTCCAGGAGGCACACGCGTGAGAAGCCAGGCGGAAGCATCACGAAGAGGGGGAGCAGAATGCAGGTGCACGCAGGCACAGAAATACACAACTAAACAAGTCGTCACCCCTCCTCCGTACGCATCCGAGCAGCGGCGCCGCATGCACTCCCAGCGACGCGGGAAGAAGAGCAAAGCTGCAGAATGCGAGGCACCCACACAACCACACACACAAAACCAGAGACGCTCGCCGTGCCTCACTCCTTCTTCCCTTCCTTCCCAAAGTTTCGGACCTTGGGCAAAAACAAAACCAAACAACAGCGCAGCAAGACGGATAACAAAAGAGCAGGAATTAAGTAATGGGTGAGGAGGTGGAGAGGAACAAATTTTCTCTTTTGCAAGCTAGCTAGCTAGTTAGTTAGTTTCTTGCGCCCTTTTTTTTGTATGACTGCGTGTGTGTCGCGGCCCCACAGCAGCGCGTTGGACGCAACTGAACCGGAGAAACTCAAGCGCCGCAGGGGGGGCCCGCCCTTCCTCCTCCTCCAGTGACAACAGTAAGCAGAACTCACGAAAGCACGAACTCAGAGAAGGCGTAATGCTGCCGCACCAAGAGCATGTGGGAAATCTCCCGCAGTCGCCGAAGCACCTGCGTCGCCACGGCTTCTTCCGTGTAGTTCGCCAGAACACTTTGACGTGCGCGGCGGCCCACCTCCCTCGCCAAGGCGGGGTTTTCAAAGACGTACCGCATCAACTGCGTCAGACCCGTCACGCTTGGAATCGCGCACTTCTTCCCGGGCAGGTAGCCGTACGCGCTCCACTTCGGCAGCTCCTCCAGGCCGTCCACCGGGATGAGGAAGGAGTTGTCGCGCCTACAGAACGCCGTGGGGCCGCCCCAGTTTGTCACCAGCACGGGCAGCCCCATCGACATGGCCTCCATCAGGGGCAAGCCCCAGCCTTCCGCACGCGTGGGCAGCACAAAGGCGTCCACGGAGCGATACATAGACAGTATGGCTTCCTGCGACAAGGTTCCGTCGCCAATCATAACAATGGGCGGAAAGTCTCCGATGGCGCCGCCCATTTCCGCCTGCTGCCGCACCCAGCTGTTGATGTAGCTGGGAAACGAGCGGTAGTTTACACCGCCGGCGTAGTTGGCAGGAAAACTGCATTTAATGTACAACTCCACGTCATCATGATGTGGCTGGCCGGGGCCAAAGGCCTTCCAGTACGCCTTCAGCAACACATCCCACCCCTTGCGCTGCTCCCACTTGAAAATGCTCAAAAAACGAAAACGCCGTTTACTCATGTTCCAACTCTGCCGTTGCCCGGCTTTCCACGCACCACCGCGAAGTGGGCGGTTGCTCCACACCCCCGTTCGCTGCGCACTGAGGAGCGAGGACAAGAACGAGGCCCCCACCGGCTCGTAGAGGCTCGGGTCAAAGACGAAGGGGTCAATGGACTCCGGGATCACGCGTATCATGCCGCGCCGAACACCGGAGCGCTCGTAGACAGACTGGAAAAAGGCGGAAGGCACCCAGACCTCGTCAAGGTTTTGGTGAATGAGATCCACCTCCGTGGAGGAGAGGCAAGACATTTCGGTAATGATGCGACCCACGGCATAAGCGCGATTTGGTTTCATGCCGCCGAAATAGCCCATCCCCAACCTCGGGGCGCCGTGAAACAACGCCACTCGCTGCATCCGTGGCACCCGCGGCCGCGAGGCACCTTCCTCCTGCCAGTGTGTTCGGAGAAGCCCATCCAGAATGTACTCGGGCAAAGCGTCGCACCAGGAGCAACGCGAGGCAGACATGGAGATGGGCACCCCCCACGACTGCAGCGGTGTCAGGTAGTGCACCATCTCCATCATCATGCCACTGCACGGAATCCGGCAGTACATCCCGTACACCGTAACGTGCGCCAGCTCTTCACTCACGGCTTCCACGGCCTCCACCCCGGAAAAGGCGGGGGCGTTGTACTTGACGGGTTGCCAGGAGCCCCGCACAACGCGCCGGCGAATGCGCTCCGTCAGAAACGCCCCCCACCGATGCTGCTGTAGTGGAGTCAAGGCATACGATGGCCGCGTGGCACCGACGAGGGCGGCTACACTACAGCCCTCCGCAGCCGGCCGAGCGGCGCCGCACTGCAGGCCCAACCCACGCCAGGCGACGGCAAGCGCCGTGCTGCTCCAAAACTCCCAATCGGGTTGCGCCTTCGCAATTCGAAAGGACAGTGCCCAGCCCATGTGGCTCGGCGCCGCAGCCTCCATGGGACCAAGCAAACCACTCCCGCAGGAGGGCACAAAACCCCCTGCCTCGTCAAACAAATCGCGATGCCAGAGAGCACAAAAAGGGGAGACACCATCCAGTGGTTCCTCCCATCCCCGGACGCGTGCATCGCGCGCGTCGCGGCCACGCATAGTCTGCGTCAGGAAGAAACGTGTCACGGCGGTCCCTGACGTGGAACCAAACGCCCCCCGAACTCCCCTGTCAAGCACCTCATAACCCCTTAAGCCTTGAACTCGTTCCTCTGTAAAGTTCATTGCCGCTTCAAAATGGCTCTGCGCAGTGTTTCCGGCTATGATTGTGCACTGAACCGCCGCCACACGACCGTTATTGTGACGCAGTGGTGACATCAAACGTTGCATAAATCCTCCTTCCCCTGCTTCTTTTTCAAACTCGTGCGCCTCGGCGTCGTTCTTGAGCACTCCGAGCGGCATAAGCGACTCAGCAAGCACGGCAAAGTATGGTGTTTGCACACCGCTGGCCTTTAAACCCGCCCTCACCGCGGCGTCATACAGCCACTCTTCCGGTGTCACAAGCCCATAGACATTCTCTTTTCCACAACGCGCATACGTTTCGCCCGCTGCGGCCTTTGGAAGGAGGAGCCGTACCTCAGAAATGCGGCAGAATGCAACTGCCGCATCTGGCGTGGGCCTCTCCGGAACAGGAACGTGAAAGCGCCAGTGCGACCAGACACAATCCCTCACCGCAACATCCGCCTCATGCCGTGCATCCAGTTCCTTCAAACTCGGTCGCAAAGAGCCTCTCAAGGCAACTAACTGCACAAGAACGATATTGACCATTGAAGTAAACGAGAAAGTGCTGTTCGACGCACACAACGCCCTCACAAGCGGGGAGGTGTGAGCCAGTGACTGACGAACCAGCTCCAGCGTGTCGCCACTGGTTGGCATGACAAGTGTCACATGATGTTCCCCGCCTTCCATGATGCGGCTGCCGTTTCTCTCCCTCAGCGGCGTGTGGGGGGCAGGGCGATGCATCCCGTGCACCTCCTCGACGGCCCCGCTGCGGTCAACGGCAAGCCAAAGAAAAAAAATTAAGAGGAGGCCAAACCACAAAGCACAAAAACACACCACAGCGGAACCCCGCGGCGGGCACCCGGCACGGCGCAGGAGCGGAAGTAGAGCTGTTGGCAGTGGCCGCTGACTGGAGCCCGGCGGCTCCCCTTTGCTCAGCCCCAACTCCGGCTTATTGCGGGCTTTGCCAGCGAGTTTATTCCGCTCCCGCATAGCAAATGAATTCGATGCTCCTTCCTTTTTCCTCTCATGAGAGGGGGAAAAAAGTTTACTGTGGCGGGTGTGTTTCTCCATTCACGCAAGACAACGTCGGCGCGCCGTTAGTCCCACCTGCAAAAGAGGAGCCGTCGCGGCCCCACTTCTCCCTTCAACAAAGAGACAAGAAAAAGAAAGGGCCCTTCAGTGCCGTTTTCGTCGTGCCCTCCTTTCTCGCCGCAGATGCATGCACACGGATATATATATAGAGAGAGAGAGAAAAGAGAGCGATAGGTAGATGCATGCATTCAGTCCCTCACAGTGTGTGGGAAAGAGAGGGAGGGAGAAAGATGGAGCGAATCCAGTTCGACTCCTCCACACCTCTACAGCAATTCGTCACTGATGAAATGGTGGAGGCGCCGAAAACGGCCTCCACCCGCCGCCTCCCGCGCATGGTGGGGCGGGCCGCCAACGACTCCGCCTCTCGTCCAGCCATTCGCAA